ATGCCACATACACTATTATTCGATAATCGTATCATTGGATAGACAATCCTTTAATCTATTAGACAAATTTTTAGTTTTCTTAAATATCTTTTTGAATCGCGAACTTATTCGCTAAAAACAAAATGTTATAATAACAGTGTAGGTACTACAACTGTTTACAAATAGTGTATGGTGCACTTGGACTATTATTAAGAAAATCCCAAAGAAATTTTTTTAATATTAAAATAATTGTAGAGTATTTTACTTCATTATATTGCTGCTAACTTTCACAAACAGCTTCAAAATTTAAATAAAAAATAGCGTAGTATCGACATACATCAATTAATCTTTCTGCGTATGCAAACAAATAAAATAGTGTACAATGATTTCATATAAAAAAGTTCAAAGATAAAATAGTGTATAAGCAGATGCTTTCAGAAAAATGGACTCAAATGGTATTTAAAGGTAAGCATGGTAAACTTTTTTAGTGAATTAACAGCTAAGGAATCAATAAAAAGTGTGGTGTACTTATAATGAGAATAAGTATTTTGAATAAGAAGCGCTCAATTAAAGTTTAAACTTGGTCGATTGGATTATAAAAACTTCTAATTCGTTTTTCTCAAAACTATACTTTCCATGTTACACTACTTTATTATTCCAGCGACGATATACTTCAAAGTAAAATAAAGGAATATTTTTTTTTAATTAAACAGGCGTTACGTCAAATAAGAAGTAATAGATACTTATGTAATTACATAAGTCCACCTTCTTGATTGGCGTTGTTACCGGGTTTTAACCAATTCCAAAAAAGCCAATCGTTTCTCTCTTGTGTGAATGCCAATTGGAAATTCCAACTGAAGCCAAATCCCCCACCACTTGGTATTTTAGCGTTGATGATTTTAGCTCTAGCTGAGTACGTAGAGGCGCGTGCTGTGTATTATTTGGTAGGTTCCAAGAGATACTGGGCTCACTAAATAAAATGGTATACACATATTTTTCTTTATATTTAAATCTAGTTTTCTCCTCTAACTTTATAATTAGTAAGTACCTACTTAATTAAATTTAGAAAAACACCATCAACCAGCTGACACGTTTCATAAGCATTTTTCTTTATTTTTACAAACTTATGAACATTGAAAATAATAATTAAAGACTCAAATAGTCATGAAAAAAGGATCTTAGCTAATAATTGTATAATAAAGCTTAGCCTAAATGCAATTTCTAGAACTATTTAAATGTTTTACTTCACACATAGTTGCATGAAACAACCGTATGGGCTAATCCCGTGTTTATATACACTCTTAACGCGATTCAACAACTCTTAACTCGCATTCAAAATATGATTTATGGTGGCACTGTTAAAAGTTTCAATTCGATTTAAGAATGTGTTTACATGTGTGTTTCCAAATAACATGCTTTGACTTAGAACGAATTAAAGAATCATATAAACATGGTATATGATGTACGTATGTATGTAGTGCTTATCTTTCCTTTCTATCTTATCACGTCTGACTAAATAATAGTGAAGTGCTTCCTATCTTATCATTATTTTATCACGCATATACGTGGTGTCATGAATTAACGTACATACATATATTTTAATTAAAAGTCGTAATAGATTATCGTAAATATAATTTGTGTAGCGCCATCTACCTGATTTTTTTTTCAAAAGCTTTAAGTAGTTTAACCCTCTATAGGAAATATTCTTTTGTTATTTTAATCAAAGAGAGAAGAAACGAAAAGCAGTGGGATTATTTGTGAATTGGTACCATTGTTCATAACGGCTAATTAAACATTTGCACAAATACTTAAAATTCAAAGGTGCAAAAGTATGTATGTATGTTTTAACGAATATGTGTTTATGTATGCACTTTCTCTATTAAAGTGTGTGTGGAAGTGGTTTAAAAATATTTCATTTGGTTTTTGTTATCTTCAAGTCTTATGTGCGTTGTGCTTTCTTTAAAGATTCTCCTCTTTCACGTTGAATCAATAGATTTTAATCAACTTGTTTGTTTGACAAATATAACGCTATATTGGCTCGTCTTTAATTGGTGATGGGGAATTTTATGTAATATTAATTACACATTGTCCTACCATACAGCTGTAGATGCTCAGGTGACCAACCTGCTTCAACTCAGCACTCATGAGCTCTATGTTACTTGATCTCGGGTCGAACAACGCTGCATTTCCTATCTACATATGTACATCAGGGCGAAAGTGTAGTGTTTTGTTGCAGTTGTGGCTTAATACCACCTTTTCACTGGATTTCGAGTTAATGATGTAATGCTGTTGTTCGAAAAAAGCGTAGTGTCGTCGCCACTATCATCAACAACAACACTAACACCACCACTGCTACCCACCTGCGAATGACGTCCATACTTATGTAAATATATGTATGCACGTTCTTCTACAATTCGTGTTGAGTGATGAAAAAACTGGGCTAAAGGAGGGATGAGTAGTTTCCATTATTAGTTTCCTTTTATTTTTATTTTGCAATAAATATATCACCTGTATCACTAGTGAATGCAGAGCAGATTACCGTCGTTTTCTCCTTCTTCCTATTTAGCGAATGGAAAATGCATTGAAGCTATAAAACCGACAGAAGATGGCTTTGGTGATAAATGAAAAGCTGCTGCACTGCTTCCTTTTAAGAGTTGTTGCGTTCGTATATGAGGAATAAAGTTTCAAAGAAAAGTTAGAAGAATAAAATAAATGACGGTTATATACATATGTACAGTCATGTAAAAAAGTAGGGACACAACATTTTGACCTGTTTTGGCTACTTTAATGTTTATTAATTAAACAGAAAAAAAATTTAAAATTATTATATATGTTTCGTTTAATAGGATTCAAACCCGGACTGTCCTCAAAGCGAACAAATAGTCTACTCAGCTTCAGCGACAACATGTAACAGGACAATTTTCGCAACTGCCTTTCAGCTCACCACAGTTTTTCGAAAGAGTCTTTCGCAAGACAATTTTCAATTCTGTCATATATCTTGAAAGCTCTTTACTGCATATCGAAAGACTAATTGAAAGATCTAACGATGAGGTCTTGGGCTTATGCTGTTCACCTTTTAGCATTCATTTTTTTCTTAATTAACTTAATTAAAACAACATACATATTTTTCCTTTTAAAACAGTCAAAAATAATAAATAAAAGAAATTTAAATTAAAAAGGGAACAATGAAAATAAAGCAAAAAAAAGCATTTTTAAAAATTTAATGAGATTAAATTAAATTTTTTTTCTTTAGATTTAATTAAAAAAGGACAAAAATTAAATAAAAAACAAGAAACAATATTCCGCCGCCCAAAACTCGAACTCGGCTCTTGTGACCCTTGGAGCGACGCATGCTAAATGATATGCAAGTGCTTTCTCTCAAAATAGTTTTTAACCTTCACCACAATTGGTGAATGAGAGAGCTTTTTTTCTAAGACTATTGTGCTAGAATAACAAAAGTCTTTCGAACTATTGCTTGAAACACAATACCCGGCGAAGGGCGAAGTTCGCCGAATTGGGCGATGCCGTCGTTCACCGTTCGCCCTGCTATTTCGCCTACTTTAACAGAATTAGAGCGGCTGCGAAAACAGCTGATACCATTTCGTCGCACTTATAGGTTAGGTGACCATATTTTGAAAAACTAAACCATATTTAGAAATGATGAAATGGTAACAAATATACAAATAAAGCAAGGGGGAATAATTATAAATGATTTTATTTTAAGCCAGATTTAACGAATCGATCACTGTATTTTTCAACCACCAAAAATAATTCGTGTTACATGCTGTTTTCTTTTAAATCTTTGAAAGTTAAAAAACATACGGCCACCTTTGGCATGTACTGCCGCCATCGCCCAGCAGAGCGATGAAAATAAATCTATCGCCACGAAACGCCGCCGAGCGAACTTCGCATTTCGCTTTGGCTGTGTTCAATTTCATATGCCGGCAGGTGTTCTAATTTTGACAGCGGTAATTTCGCTGTGGTGAGTTCGCCGTTCGCCGGCATTGTGTTTCCACGGTATCTTGCCATCTGTCCTTCGTTTGTCTTACTGAAGACTTTTTACTACCTTAGCCAGATTTGTCCTCTAAGTGTGTTTTCAAATGTTCATTTTGAATCAAAGCCATATCACGCGCTTCGTGCATTTGAACAGATTTGTGAATTTAATAGTTACAGAGTGGTGTTGTTTGGTAATTTTTTTTTGAGCTGAACTCGTTCTTGATAAAAATTTCTAGACGATACCTCTCTGTGATCGATCAAACAAAATTATGTTTCAGTTTTTTTTTTAATAATTTGTGTTCCAAAATTTAAAATCGCTAGCAAAAAATACATAAATAATTAGATCGACTTTTATAGACAATTAATAAACATTAAACAAAACAAAAGAAAAATTGCTAAAACTGGTCCAAATGTCATGTCCCTATTGTTTTCATATGACTGTATGCTCAGTCGTTGTTTGCTTGATGAAAACATTGCTCATTTTACACTCGATTGAAAGCTATTCTCGGAATCATCTGTTATAAGTTAATTAAATACCATATAGTAAACAAAACGAATTTATTTTTATTATTTTTTGCTCTAATTCAAGAACAGAAAGAATTATCGAAATTCAATTCATTTGCTATAAATAGCACCGTCAGTTGTCCAAAGTCTATCAAAAAAACTTTGTCTTCATCATTAAAGCAAAATTACCAACAATTGACAAATTTAGAATTCGACATGGCGGAGAAGAATACAACTTTTTAAATTAAAGAAGGCAACAAACCCCGTATTTTTTGTGTTCTGGGTTTGAATCTGAGAGCAAACTAACAAAACATTAAAATGCGCATTTCGCAAAATGACTTAAACCTTCTGCTTAGATAACGATATGTGATAGGATGACAACGCCAACGTTAAAAGTTTATGTTTGCGTTGGGAAAAATATTAAATAAGATGGTACACATATTTGTTTATATATTATTATTATTATTTTTGGAATATATTTACTTCTTGAAGACTTATAAATATTTTTCTTTGTTAAGCAGCCACCTTCACCGGATCACATCAAAACAACAAAAGTGCCTAAATCGGTTTCCGATAAAAAGCGGTTCTTTGAATCGGCTATGGAAGATCAACACAAACCATCACAAAAGACAGGTAAGACAAAATCATATACACACATATGCACCTTGCAAGGTGGCAAACTGTAATGCGATACGAAAGAGCAATGCGATGCGATAGGCAAATACATCGTAAGTTGGGGCGATTGCCTATCGCATTGCAATTATCATTCGCATCGCATTACAGAGTAGGCCCCCTGAACTAGTGAACATATTTCTAGTTCCGTACTAGATATTTATCGCCAAAGGCAAATCAGTTCGATAGTAACTTGTTCTAAAGCAGCGAAATATGGCACTTAAAAAAACTACTTTATTTTACTTTTTAAAACTACATAACGCTAGTTAAGAGTGAAAAGTTGCTGCTATGTCTACTTTTGCTAAAAAAAATATTTTTTGATGCAACCAAGAACATATCGTCACCTGAGAGGAAGATCAACCTATCTCGGCAGCCAGTTCGAAAACGCCCTATCTCAGAGAACTTTTCAAGAACGCCATATTTCAGAATTTGATTGCAGAACGCCCTTTTGCAGAATCTTATTGAAAAGCAAACTATCTCAGAATTTGGTTGAAGAACGCTCTATCTCAACTGAAAATACATCGAAAATGTGCTGACATAGGACGTTTTTGAATCAGCAGTTGAGATAGGGCGGTCTTCAACCAAATTCTGAAATAGGGCGTTTTCAATCAAATTCTGAAATAGGGAGTTCTTCAATCAAATTCTGAAGTAGGGCGTTCTTGAAAAGTTTTCTGAGATAGGGCGTTTTCGAAGTGGCTGCCGAGATAGGTCGATCATCCATCCACTCAAAAGATCTAACTAAGTACCAATTGCATTTCTAACCGTTTCTGTTCAGTGATACGCAAATTTGCTAAGTCCAAAAATATCAAATTGAAAATACATGTCGCTTTAAAGTAAAAAGCAGCTTTTTTGACAGATATCCCATTGAAAGTTATGTCAGTAACCTGTTTTTAACTTTAGAGTCTACTTTATTTCGAACGAGTCATTTATTAAAAAAAATAAAAATAAAATAAAAAATTTAATCGTTATCAAGGGAACACCCAATATATCAAAATTCTTTTATCGTCAGTCGATTTTAGTATCGGATCAGTTCGGCACTAGTGCGCTTCCCCACAGAGTATATTATTCCTAAAGCCTTAGTAGATTTCATTTCGAAAAAGGGTAATTTCATGTAAAAGAGGAAAACGACATAAATTGCTACTTCATTATTTAAAATTAAACTTCGCCTTGGTCTAAAATAATTTTAAATAATAAAACTTTCATTGGCTCATATTTATAGGTTTATTGTTTGTTTAATTAGTTTCAAGTTCACAGAAACGTACAGGTTTTGTTTTATTTACGATTCAAATAGTTTTGAGTGCACAGAAATGAATTTAAATAATTAGATTGGAATTAAATATTTAGGCGAATAATGAATTAAATGAATTGAGCATTTAGGTAAAGAATTAATGCAAACTATTTGATTTCACAAAACACAACCGTCTCAGCTACCGGCTCGTACTCGACTCGCTGCTAGACTGCCATGATACGCCATTGTTTCTTTAAAAAAGAAATAGGGTTGCCAGGCTTTAACCTCACATATTTATGTAGCCCAAATCACTTATAAAGAATATGCTTCAGCTTTTTAAGTTTCTTTAAGTATTTTTTATCTTATTATTTATGTTTGATTTATAAAAGATCCTTAATAAAATTTTGACTAAAAATACATGGTGCCCAACAACGTCCTTAGTGTTCCGCCATGTATTTTTGGGTTGTTACATAAAAAGCGACGGTATTTTGTTGAAAAGCCCATCTTTTCTTTGCGACACGCGTTAACCGACTCCAATCGGGACCACTATCGACTGTGGTAGTATCGATTTTTGGTATTAGACGAAAAAAAAAAATTATTTTACTGTACTTTGGCCCCCTGTGCGACATGCCTTAATCGTTTCCAATCGGGACCAAAATTTATACGTGATAGCTGTGACCGTGCTATTACCGATTGAGAGGTGAGACCGAAAGAAATCGTTCATTTAATTTTTATGGACCACCCTTATGTACGTCGATTTGGGAAACTAAAATGTACATCAGTGTTCAAAACTGTAACGACATCTCGTAATCCAAGGGACCACTAAAATATTACAAGTAATCGCGGTTTTCAGAGAGAGGAACTACGAGTTATAGGCATATTTTATCTTTACTTTTTTTTACTGCAAGAACATACACTTTCATACATATCGGTCATTACGAGTTGTAAGATATTAACAACTAAAACTCCAAGTTCAAGACCTTTCTAGACAACACAAAAGCAAAAGTAACGGTCATAAGCTATTTCCGCTTTCTTTTCTAATTTGCAAATTATGTACAGTATTCAAGACAAATATTACTGGCGTTTTCGTTTCTTCAAAATGCCTTGCCTTTTCATTGTTCTGCTCTTAGTGTTTTTGCGAACTTTATTACGAATTATGGCGATTTTTGACTTATTGAGCCTACGAATTACAGAGATTCCACTGTAGTTATTTCCCCCTTTATGCTTTCCGGATACGAAAAATGGCCAGGAATCGAAATGTTTTATTGCCTTTTCCTGATAAGAAAATTGGCCAGAAAGCACACTGCCCGCAAAACGTTAGTTTCTTTTCTAGCTGGCGAGCTAAGTAGTTGTATTTAAATATAAATATTACAACTGAATCAAAGTCAAATCAATTTATATTTATATTTTACCGTACGCTTCACCGGCCATATTATTGACACTCCGAATTTGTCGGAATAATGTGGAATATCAATATTTACGGAATAGAAGAGAATTAGTCGGAATAAGTCGCATAGAATAAAATGGAATAAGGCGTAACAAGAAAGTCAGAATAGTTCATTACTGAGTTTTACATTTTTTTTTAGCAATACATACAGGTAAGAAATCAAAACTCAGATTCTAGTTTGTAGTTATTCTTTTTAATCCATTTAGGGTGAAATAATGACGCATTCATCTCGATCCAATGCACTGATCGTAATTGACCGTGTTCAACGTGTTTACGAGGAAGACCCAAAACAATAAGTACAAAAAAGGTATTAAAGCTGCATTGAGCACATATATTGATTGAAAAATATTTTTATTGATATTGTTTACAGACAACGATATCTTGCACACGAAGTAAATGTACTGTGCGCATTGTGTTTCTTGGCTGCTGTTAGCATGCAGTCTATCTTCGGTGACATTAGAGGGGTTTGCCAAAATATACTTATGTATGTATGGATTAATTTTAACATTCGCATTCGCAATAATAAGTGCGGAGCTTGTACCGCAATAAAAAAAGAAAAAATATAGCTGAAAGTCCTCTTAACTGGTGAGGCGTCAATCGAAACGAATTTAAAATTTTGTCAAGTTACGTACGCATAATATTATATTTGTCGCCTCCATCAATAAGTGTTCCGAGAGAGCACTCATTCAGTAGCGCAGGTTTGATTTACGATGCTTTAAGAAACAGGCTTGAACCTGAAAAGGCAGAAACTTTACTTTTTATAAATGCAATGCCTCAATTTTTAAATTTAAGTACTAAGTAAAACAAAGATTATTTAAAATTACTAACATTTCCATGTTTTCATTTACCTAAAATATATCTTGAAAACATCCCTCATATGGGACATTCTAGCCCATTTAGGACACCATTTCCGATATTTCTCATAATTTTTTATGTTATACTACCAATCCAGAGAGGATTCAGACAATCCGTTCGTTAAATTTTCATCGCCAGAATTCTCTAAATGAAAAGCAGTGGGACCTAAAAGTAAACAATATGGAAAAGTTACAGATGCAATTTCTAATCAGACAAATGCGGCAGTATGAGGGACATGTTACTAGATTCTGCAACTTTTAAACTTGGTCCGATAATGATATATTTAAAATTTTTTAATTAATGAAAAACTAACAAATTTTGTCAAATTCAACGCATTCTGCATCAAACCAAATGAATTTAACGAAATGATAAAGATACCACGTTGTAGAGGAAGAAATTCTCTACATATTTGCAGAGATAATTACTACGCTACGACTAATCCTTTTCGCGTAATTAATCGTTATCGCCTTCCTTTAAGTTTGATCGAACACATGAATACTCGTACATGGAGTATGAGTAACATTCCCTGCTCATATTTCATACAAAAGAAATAAACTATTGGCTTCACCAATGGATTACGCGAAAGTGATACATCGCGGCGTTATACTTTGCACTGCAATTTTGTAGAGAGTTTCTTCCTCTACAATGTGGTATATTTGTCTTTTTGATTACTAAATTCAGGCAGAATTCTTGTCGTTGAATTGGACGAGATTTGATAGTTTTTCATCATGATTCAATAATGGAAAGGTTTTGTAATAAAACAGTCTTCTCGCTCCCACACATAAAATCGGCTCCTTTACTTGTTCAGAATGTTGCTCACTCTATAGTTTCTAGTGATATTAGCAGTAAAACCAAAAATTCTTCATACTAAATATTCGTTGGCGTCACCTTCCTTTTGCGTAATTTTCTATAACAAGTGTAGAATAGCGACCGTTTAGCTATAAAATAACCAAAAATGCCGATTGATAGAACTTTTTACGCTGATTTCAACGATACCAATTTTTTTCAATTTTTCCTAATAAACAATCGTGGTACAAAGCT